CACTCTACCCAGGGGGACAGCTTGAGGCTCTGTCTCAAAAAACAAAACAAAAAACAAAACAAAACAAAAAAAATGCAGATCTGGGCTTGGCGTCTGTAGCTCAAGCAGCTCAGGTGCCAGCCATATACACCGGAGCTGGCGGGTTGGAATCCAGCCCGGGCCTGCCAAACAACTACAACCAAAAAATAGCCGGGCATTGTGGTGGGCACCTGTAGTCCTAGCTACTTGGGAGGCTGAGGAAAGAGAATTGCTTAAGCCCAAGAGTTGAAGGTTGTTGTGAGCTGTGACGCCATGGCACTCTACCCAAGGTGACAGCTTAAGATGCTGTGTCAGAAAAAAAATGCAGATCTGGGCTCGGCACAAGTAGCATGGTAGTTACTGCATCGGCCACATGCAACAAGGGTGATAGGTTCCAACTCAGCCCTACTAAACAATGACAACTGCAACAAAAAATAGCCAGCCTTGTGGCAGGCACCTGTAGTCTCAGCTACTTGGGAGGCTGAAGCAAGAGAATTACCTAAGCCCAGGAGTTTGAGCTTGCTGTGAGCTGTGACACCATAGCTCTCTACTGAGGGTGATAAAGTGAGACTTTGTCTCTACAAAAAAAAAAAAAAAAAGCATATCTGGAGCCCATCTCAGATAAAACAAACATGTGGGGTAGGTGTCAGGAATAGGCATTTTTGAAAAGCTTCCCAAGTGATTCTTACATTCTTACACTTGAGAATTCTTGTGAACCACTGCTTTGACAGACTGGTTCTCAAAGTGTGGACAAGAAACCCCTGGGGGTGGGTCCCTGACATCTCTTCAGGGAGTCTTCAAAGTCAATACTGTTCATAATCACACCAACATGTTGCTTCTTTCTCATTCTCTCATGAATGTACAGTGGTATCTTCCAGAAGCTACATGAAGTGTAACATCAAATGTATGTGCAGCAGCAGATAGGAAAATCCATCTGTCTTCTTTAGTCAGAAAGATACTTAAAAAGAAAACAGTGCCACTTTTCTTACTTAATCTATGTTTAGGAATTTATATGTAAATGAGTATTTTAAACTTCTAATTTAATACTGATATATAAACCCCACATAAACAAAAGTTCTTTAGACCAAAAGTTTTGAGAACTGTTGCTCTATAGCATACGACTAGCATCCTGTGAACATTACTGCTAACCCGGGACCTAGCTCCTTGGCACACTCAACATCTACTTTATTTAATTAAACTAATTAATCTATTTTTGAGACAGAGTCTCTCACTCTGTTGTCCTGGATAGAGCAACCTCACACTCTTGTGCTCAAGCAATCGATCCTCTTGCCTCAGCCTCCCATGTAGCCAGGACTATAGGCATGTGCCAACATACGCAACTAGTTTATCTGTTTTTAGTAGAGACAGGGTCTCACTCTTACTCAGGCAGATCTGGAACTACTGAGCTCAAGCAATCCACCCACTTGGCCACCCAGAGTGCTAAGATTTCAGGCATGAGCCACCACGCCTAGCCGTATACTTCATTTTAATTCTGATTCAAAATGCCTCTTCGACTTATTTTCAGGCAAGGAGATTTGACAGTGAAATATTAAGGTCTAACTTGTTTTAGTTAGAAGTCTAAGATACAAAGCATGTTTTCCTTGGTGACACCAAAATGTACTAAATAATCCTTTAATGTATGTACAGATTGACTCTGATGTATGAAATATAAAATTTTCATTAGTTAGTAATGTGACAAATAGGCATTAGATTCTAAGTGAGGGTGGCAAATGTTAAACACAAATCCCAAATTTTTGAAAGGAAATAAAATGAAATGAACTGGGGTTCACAGTAGGCAGAATGTAACTTTTAAAAACTTTACATTTTTAGAAAATGTAGAAATGTGAGTAGGCAGATTAATTACTGACATTATACGAAGCTGCACAATTTTATTCTTAAATGAAAATACATCTTAGATAGTATTGCCAAATTGGTCTGAGTGTATCTTGCCAATACAGAATGACAACAGAACACTGTGAGGTTTAGGCATAGCTGTGGTAAAAATGGGTCTAACCTTTTGATTATATCTGAACTTTAAGACATTGGCTCTTTTAACTTGCCACATGTAATTTTTTAATGTATCGTGCCATTTAAAAATACTGAGAACACCTAACATTTAAATAAATGCCTGCTGTTTGTGAATGTTTAAATGACTGAAGTTGTGAACATATTTGCTAATTTATACCACATTTAGATTTTAAATGATATATCTATTTAACATACATTATGCTGATTAATTGGTATTTGAAAATAAGTCTATTTTTCTTTTGAGTAGGCTTTTGGTAAAAGTGCATGGAATATAATTTTCTAGTCATATGTTACTTTCCTAACCTATATTTATTTCAAAATCTTCTAACTCAGGAGAGGTAAACAGTAGGCAAACCAAAAAGTCCAGCAAATCTGACTTTTCCTGTCCTCCACTTTAGTTTGCACACCCACTTATAATCATCATTTCTCTGTAAATTTTCCACTGAGTCCATCAAAAATCAATGCTCTGAGAGTTTTCTAAAAGGTGCAGCAGTTCTGTGGAGTCTCTGAATGATTACAGCGCTCTGTAAACCCGCTTCTTCCAGGGTGAGGGTCTCATCTAGCAGTCTGAGGAAAGGAAGAGCTGTTGCCAAGGAAAAGGGAGGACTTCTTTGATATCCCTGGTACTGTTCAATGAAGTCTTTGATGTGGCTTACCCTGTGAAACAGCAGAAACTATTAACATAATTTTATAGAAAACTAAATTAGCTAGTTTAAGGTAATAAGAACATGTGAAGGTATCTGGATATGTTAATGCACAAAACAATCAAATTAAAACGTAACGGATCATTTGGGCTATCTTTTAAAGGGTGACCCCTGTTTGACAATAGGAAGGAATTATGGTTAATTATTTTAAGTGTGGTAAAGGTTATCATGCTGTGTTTTTAAAGAATTTTCAGACTTGGTGCCTATGGCTCAAGTGGCTAAGGCGTCAGCCACATACACCTAAGGTGGCAGGTTTGAATCCAGCCCCGGCCACCAAACAACAATGATGGCTACAACCGAAAAAAATAGCCAGGCGTTGTGGCGGGCACCTGTGGTCCCAGCTCCTGGGGA